ATTGGCAAGAATCAAATGCACTGATGCCGTTTCTGACTTCTAGTAAAAAGTGAGAAGCCTGATCCATAGAGGCAGAGAAGGAGCTGTGGGTGAGCATTGTCAGTAACAGCCTCACCTTGAGAAAGGAGCCATAATGGCCAAAGAAAAGGTTGAATTTGTGATCTAATTACCCAAGAAGTGATTGCAAATATTAAGTATCTGCTGGTTTAGCTCTTGTTTTAGTTGGGCAATACACGTAGCGCGCCATGGGAAACAGGTACTGTGTGCCACCTCATTTCCATCTCCTCTCACTTCACGTCCTTGCAGGTGGAACGATATTAACAAACCACAGAAATTAGAAATGAAAATCTGTCACTGCACAGCTCCCTGCATGCGATCTGCCAGAAACACGTGCCAATGGCACAGAGGGTTTGACTACCAGGTGCAGCCCTGCTCTCACTGCTATTCAGGACGTGCTTAAGGTACCACTTTAGTACTTCAGATGTCTGAAACACGAGGAATCATGAAACTATTGGCCTGTTGGTCCATTTGCTGATCTCTCCTGCAGCATCATTGAATTTCTGAAGCCACAGATTCTCCTATAATAAGTGTGCTCATTGTGAGCCCACAGATAAACTATTACCATGTTAACCTGTCTGACTGTTCCTCAGGTTTTGCTTCACATCTGATCCTGGGGACCAAGCTGGCAGGGACTTTTCACAGTGGGGAACAATTGCTATAGCAGGCTGTTGCTTATCCTACAAATGGAAAAAAAAAAGCTTAGCAGTTTTACAGTAATCCAGTGGAAAATAGACTTAAAAAAATAATAGTGGATTGTGGATTTTGCTTGTTTCCCATTGTTTTGTTTTTGCTACGAAAAGTATTTCAGAAAAGTGCTTGCATGATGGGTTGACAATGCCAAGAGAAAAGCTCTCAGGAGAAATGGTCCCCTCCCTTCCCCTCCGTAGGAAATGCTAGAGTTAACAAAAAACCTAAACAAACCCCAGTCCCACAACCCTACAACCTCGATACATATGCAGATAGCTATGGAGATGTCTGGAATGTAGTAATTAAGAGTAAGGTTTTCAAGTGGCAGGTAGGCCTTTGATGAAGGGTCCTTTTGAGACATTTTTGTCTGTAAATGTGTGTGAGTAAAATTTGATTTCCTGGTGAGCCAGCACTAACGTTTGATATGAAGTCGAGTCCCCAGGCACTCTGAGAAGAAAAGGTAATGTATTTGATATTTTCTGTGTGTTTGTAGGCAAAGGCAGGGTCAGAGCAGAGTTAACCACATAGAAAATCTCCCAGAGTCACCTGGCAACTTACTTAAATCAGATCAGTGCAGTCTCGCCTGTATGGGCTCTTCCCACCGCGGTACCACTGCTTGGGCTGCTGCTGGCTCCCTACAACTCAAGGCAGCCTCAAACTGCTTATCTGAAGCCTGGTGAGGTCAGGACCAAGGGAAATGGGGTGAACGTGCATCTTGTGGGTGAAGCACTGCTGGGGTCGCTCTGCAGGTCCAGCGACCATCGGGGTATGTTCCTGCTGCAGCAACTCCATCTTTACTGGTTCAAAACTTCACAGTCTCTGTATTAAAGCTGATTTATGTACCAGGACTGTTGACTCTAGTGTGAAACAAGTGTATTGTAGGGTCTGAAGGATTGTGCGGTGTTGGGACTAGGAAACAATAGTAATATAATTATGGTTTTTTGACAGATGCTTAATACATTGGTGTGGATGCTTTTTTGTTCTGTTTAGACCACAAGATCTGGAGGATGGGTCTGGATTCGCCCTGATTTCACCATAATTATTTGGCCTTAAGGTAGAAATACAAAGAGAGATGCAAAAATTACCTATGATAGTAGCTTTGGTGATGTTTCAGGGAGTTGTTGTTTTGCAAACAGTTCGTGGCATGATATCACAAACACATGATTTCCTAGTGGCAAAGGACACGCAAGTTTCTGTGCTTTGGGAGTCCTTGGCCTGCAAAAAACTTGCAGCCAGGAATGTAACATCTGCCCTCAGCCAGGGGATGGGCTTGAAAGGACCATGTCGTAAAAACGTCGTGCAAAAAAGATGCAGCTCCACCTGACATCTGCACCAAAAAGTCCCTGGCGAGATAAGGCAGGCGTGTCCTCCCCACCCCTTCCTCGATGATCTGTGGCAGGAAATTGTCTGAAGCTTTAAGCCAAACTGACCAGGTTCTGAAAATTAAAGTATTCACCTAGTTAATGCTTTCTGATGCTTTTCCTTTCTTTTGGGTTCCCATGCACTTTACAGACAGGTATGTTGTCTGTAGGCTGCTTGGGCTATAACTGTGGCACAACTACAACTCAGTCCTAATGTTATCACAGTTGTCTCTATCTTACTGAAGTGTAAGCCATGCTTCAACCCTGCGCTCTTTAGCATCACTCCTGTACCTTACCCTTGGCAGCTCTGCAGTTTGGGATTCTGGAACGTTAGCTATGCGATCCCCTTCCAGCAGCCATCTGGGAACCCATTTTCCTCTGCATTCGTACTTACTGCTGAATCCTGCAGTGGATTGCTGAGTGTGGGTATAGAGCCTGCCTTTGGGTTGCTTACCTCTTGACCTCTCAGGGAGTCCTATGGGCTTTTGGGCAAGATACCGTGGTTTCCATTGCATGTGTTGTGGGTAGAGCCCTGGACTGCAGCTTCGGTGCCTTGTTTGCCAGTCTCTTGTCAGCAGAGCAGATCACTTTATTGCCGTGTTTTAGGTTCCTGCTCTGCAAGAGGAAAACTGCAGCCTTTCCGGTGACTGTGTGAGCAGTAATGCGGTGCTGGCTGTGCCCAAGGAGTGCTGCTGCTAAGGCAGAAATCCCCAAGAGCTGGGACAGGGTTTGAAATAAATACCAAGACATTGACGTCTGCATTTTTGTCTTTTTCTGGAGGCATTCACAATTCTGTTAGAAAAGGCCTGTTCTTGAAAATGTGAAGGTGTAGGGAAATTCCTTTGAAAACGGCCTTCTGTTAAAGCAATTAAATAATGTTTATGTCAGATAATTAATTCCAAGGGAAGGATGAAATTGCTGAAAGGCAAAATAACAGAGTGAAAACCGTCTGTAGGTTTTTGAAGCATTTCTTATTGGAAAGGGAGGGCTTATTACCAAGATTAGCTTTTCAGAGGTTTTAAAGAAGGGTTCAATAGCTATAAAGGCTGGATTGCTTGCCACCAGCATCTCGGTTTGTAGCTCTAAATGTCTGCTTGCAGTTAATGTAGGTGCAATAAACATGTGTGCGAAAGAATTCATGGAAAAACACAGTGCAAGCACTATAAGAAATGTGTTGCAACAGAATGCAAGCATGGCTAAGTGAAAAACAGATATTGATACCCTCTTCTGAAAAAAACGGGAGAACTCTAAAACAACAGTGAAGAAGGTCTGAATGCTCAGCAGATCTGATGTTGTCTTTGGATTTGCCCCCTCTGTCTGTACTTTTCTCAGTGTCACCTGAGAATATATGGCACCTGCGCTGTGCTGGAGACAGCACTGCTGCCTGGTGCTGATTGGTATGTACAACAGAGGCACCTTCTTCCTCAGTAAAAGCAGGAATTACTCTCCCTCTACATCTTTAGACAACGCAGGCGATAGCAACAGGCCCAGCTCTCCAAGAGGGCAGAGAAACTGTGCTGAGAAGTATGCTCACAGCTGCTCGAAGATGAGACACTTTTTCTGGTTTCTAGATTGACTTTTGCCATACTATGCGCTTGCTTGCGAAGCTGCCTCTGATGAGGAGCTCTGTTCCTCGTTTTTCTTACCTCGTAGCAGTCTCATTGTGAAGTTGCTCAGACGTCTGGGTAGAGGCCAGGAAAGCCCATAGCGTGGGCTATGGCCAGGAAAGCCCAAAGCTGGAGCACGGGCAGGGTGATAAGCTGCCTGCTTCCAACCTGCCTGCGTTCCAGTGTGGGATTCAGCTGGGGTTCAAGGTGTACCAGTGGCTGGGGAGAGCTGCTCTGTTGTCCCCATGTGTTGGTCCCCAAGTGTTATTAAAGACCTTTCTGCTCCCTTTTTAAATTCAGAGGCGGCTGCCTGGACTAAGATAGCTTTTAGGTCTAAAACTAAATCAGATGCTACATAACTGCATCGGGGAGTTATAGATAAGCTAATGAAATTCCTCAGGCAATGAGAATTGACATTCCTTTCTAAAAATGCCAAGCAGAATTAGTAGTGTACTGAGTACAGCAACTGAAAGCACTGCATTTCCAGCTCAGAGGGGCATCATTGGAAGAATTAACATAACACTTGAATTAAGGGAAATAATTACTGAATTGATTTAAAGTTATACAGGATTAAGACTTCAGTTCGAAATGCGGTTTGCTTTACAGAAAATGCCACAGTAGTTGTGCGCGGAGAGCCGTGAAAGTGCCGGGAGGCTGGTGCTGGAGAAGGCTGCATGTGGTTTGGTGAAAGGGCAGTGAGGAGACTCTGCTAAGGCATCTCAGCTGATCTGGACCCAGTGCTAAAAGGGATGGGCTGGCCCTGCTGTCGGTGTGCAAGACCTGTGCAGGGACTCCTGCCTTGTGGTGTGGCCCCTGCCACCCACTACAAGGCTCTTTCCCCCATCTCAGCTTTGCAATGTGTAAACGGAAATTAATAGCGGCCACCTCTGGGGTTGTTTAGAGACTTCCCTGGGTTAAAATGCTTTTCACTTCCACACTGCTCCAGTCGTGCTCAGTATTACTGTTATTACATGGTGTTTTCTCAGCTCGCTGTACAGAAAAGCAGCTGCCTTCCGCGGACTGGTGTAAGCTACCATTATACCGGGTGGTATTATGTACGCTACTGTACTTCTGGCACCCTGGTCTATCATTTAGATTAATTTGGAAATTGTGTAGTGACTTGAGGAAAACTGCTGCAGAGTTGGAGGTTTGTTAGCCCAGAAAATATAATTAGCCAAAAAAACCCTGTAAATGTGTAATAAATACAATGCTGAATAGTGTTGCATATAAACCAGAGTACTGGAATATAACTTTTGGTACCTTTTCCGTTTTGCTTTATTTCCAGTATGGGGTACTGCATCCTTTTTGTCCACGGCCTAAAAAAGCTGTCTACATGGTTAAATAAGTGGAGAATTACTGTTCTGACCCTCTTTGCTTTACTGCTGCTGCTCTTCTCTTGGAAGACCGTGAAACAGAACGAAATCTGGCTGTCAAGAGAATCCCTTTTCAGGTATGAGTGACCACGGGAGAATACTTGCATTTTTTTGTATTGTTTAAAACAACTTTGTTACATGGAACAGTTTTCTTTAGCACAAGTCCTGCTGTTGATGTATTGCTGTGATTAACACTTTGATTATTATAAAATAACACCTACTTTCTGTTTTCTGGCAACTGTGCAAAAACTGGTGTCAGCACTTTATATGCTTATGCACAAAGTTTGGTTCTGGCAATCACATTTTTAAGACACACTGTTTTTAAATAACTTTAGTTCTGTCGATTTACCAGTAAAGTTACACTTTCCTTTTTAAAGACATAGCAAAAGTTTGTTGCAACCCTCCAGAACACCATAGTAACGTTATTGAATATATTGAATTTTCTTTAGCTATGTTCCTAATGACAAAAATGAAATGTCGTGAAGTGCCAAACTTAATGTACCATATTTCATTTTATTTGATTACTCTTTGCCAAACAGCTCTGTTTACAACCTCATTTCTGTATTTTTTTCACTGAAGCAGGCTGTTTCATTTTGTGTTTTGCTAGCAAATGTATTGCATTTGCCTCCAGCTGCTTTCAGCGGTTGTCTAATTGTGAAGTAATTGCAGAAACGCAGGTGATGTGCACACGGGTTGCTTAGTTTTATTTTCTAACTTATTGGCCAGAGCAAAGTTTAATTTACGCAGCACTGGAGACTATAAAATTATTTTTTCTATGCATACCCTTTGGTCTTCAGGAAACACTACTAAAGTGACTGGAGCTCTGTTAGTGGGATTTTTTTCCCAAAAAAATCTGAAATAGGGGGGTTTTTTTGCTCTGATGTGATTCATCACCCGTCTCCCTGAAATGCAGTTTGCTGTCCAAAGAGCAGCAGCAGCCACGGTGACCAGTCTGGGCATGTGCAGTGATCCCTGTGAAGAGCACACCTCTAGCCCAAACCCTTCTGGCTAACGGTGGCCGCTCGAAGGAAAGCCAAACGCCTCTCCAAGTTGGATGACTCACTTGTTGAAAGGGGGGTGGGAAGATGGCAATTCCATATGTTGAGCTGCAGGCATCATCTGGTATCGCGTCACATACAGTTGTGGTCACCCGTGTTTAAGAATTATGAAGTCAAACTGCAGCAGGTAACAGGAGGACTTCTCCTCCTAAGGAGCACTCTTGGGATGATACGGGGTGCCAGGGTGTGTGTCACAGAAGAGAAGGCTAAGGTTATGTCTGCTTAGTTGGACACAAGTGGACTTCTGTCCACCCTACCTCCATTCAAAACAGGGTAATCGTCTAGGAACCAGCTAAAATTCAGAAACCATGCCACTGCTTCAGTGCAGCACTGAGCTGGAGCTAATACACCTTGCCTCAGGATAGGGATTTGGTGTTGCCCAGGGTAGTATGCAGGGTGAGGTGGCTTGGGTCGAGCTGGCTTGCTCTTCAGCTCGGGACTTTTGGGGTCAATTCCAGGAAAGAGACTTGCCCTGGGCTTTTGAGGTGAAGGCAAGAATGTAGATGTGCTCCTTCTGGACCAAATACAAATTGTGGCCTGTCCCTGAGAGCAGTCAGCAACAGATGCCTAGAAAAGCAATGGAAGAGCAGGGCCAGCAGCAGTGATGCTTCTCTCCAGTCCTTTCCCAGTTTGCAGTAATCTGTAGTTAAAAGACTTCCTGAGTCACTAGTTACTTACTTTTTTTGCTTTTAACAGCCACTGATGGACTTTTCTTCCATTAATGTATCTGGCTGCTTGAATCTATATATAGTTTTGGCTTCTACAGCATCCTGTGCTTTGGGCTCTGTTGTTAAGTTACACAGTGTGCACACTAAGACTTCCCTTCTGTGCGCTGTGAGCCTTCTGCCTGATGGTCTTGTTTGGTGTGCTGGATGAATAGTCAGTAACCATCAGCTCGTTGCTTGTTCTCTGCCTTCCCTGCCTTTACACCCATTTCCTTACCCAAGGCTGTCTCTTTTTCATCCTGGAGTCTGCTGGTTTTGAACTCTCCTCATATGGAAGCTCTTCTGCATTTCTGACCCGGCTTGTCAGTCTTCATGGGATGCTTTCAACCTCTAATGGGTCCTTTTGAGAAGGAGACCAGAATCACCTTTCAAGAGATACATGTAGCACAGTAATGTAGGGCTGTGTTATCATTTTTGTTCTGTTCTCCTACTAATTCCTGATCTTCCACCTGCCTTTTGTAAGCACTGGGTGATATTTTCACAGCACTGTCCACACGAGCCAAGTGTCTAATTTATAGGCATCAATCTGTGTGCAGTCTTATGCAGATTTAGAGTATCTGTACAGACTCTCTGTGTACAGTCTCTGGTACTTCTCCTTGTACCAGAACTACATTTCATTTGCCATTTTCTTGCCCAGCCTTTGATACCATGAGATCCTTGTGCAGCTTTCTGTACTAAGCTTTAATTCTTGCAGTGTGATTCACATTGGTGTCATCAGCAGCCGTTTCTCTTCCCTGTTTGCTCCCTTTTCCAGGTTCTTTATGACCACGTGAAGCAACTCGGATGCCAGTGCATGTCTCTTGGGAACCCTGCTAGCAGTCTTCTCCAATTGTAAAAACTGTTCACATACTCGTGCTCTTTGCTTGCTGTTTATCAACGAGGTATTGATTCACAAGAGGACTTTCCCTCTTAACTGCGCAATGCCTTTAAGAAATTGAAAGTCTTTAGTGAGGGATTTTATCAAAAGCCTTTCTGAACATTCCAGTGCACAACATTGATGTATGACTGACCGGGCTATATTTTGATTTTCATAAAACCTTTGCACAGTTTCAGTACCTGTTGAGTCCATCAAAGAACAACAGATCTGTCTACTTAACTTCTTTCTGCAAAATGCAAGGTTAATTCTTTTCTGCTGGATTGTAGTTATCCAGAAGTTTGGTAGAACTAATCTTTATTGTGGTTTTCCCCAGATTACCTGGAGTGGAAATCAGACTTGGTGGTCTGTTGCCCCCCCCCAGATCCCGCCCTTCAGCCAAATGACATCATGTTCATCACCTCCCATTTCTCTAGTGCCAGCCTCATTTAAATGGTAGCTTACATACCGCAGCTAATAGCAGCTTCATGTTTGATTTTCTTTGGATGCATGTGACCAGGCCCAATGGACTTATAACTGTTCTTGGTGTTGATTTGTTTTAAAGCCTCTTTTACTGCCATTTTGGTTTGAGACAGTGTTTCAGACTTAGCCCTGTAAGGAAAGGCTCCCATGTGGAAACCTCCTTCAGTTCCCTTATAGTGAGCACTGGTACAGATAATCCATTTAACTTTTCTGCCATGGCCTTTTCTTCTACAAGCACTACTTTTAGACCCCCATCATCTATTTGCCTTAGGGGATCTTTGGCAGGTTTCCTATATCTGATGTATTCCATTATTAGCTTTGATGGCTTTAGCAAGTTTTTCCTTAAATCTCTTTTGGTCTGCCTAATTTTGGTTTGTGTTTAACTTGCTAAAGTTTATATTCTTTTCCTTTTTCCTTGTGATGTTCACTTTTCAAAAGGTGTTTTTAATTTCTCATAGCCTTCTTTACTACGCTATTTAACAACATTGGCTTTTTTGCTGTCCTTTTAAGGTTTTCTTTGATAGGTGTAATGTATCTATCGTGAGTCTGTAATACAGTAGGACTGTTCTCGTTGAAGGGAAGGAAATGCAAAAGAAGAATAGTATAGCAAGAAGATAACGTCATCCCAGGAGGGGGAGATCTCTTTGGGGCAGAAGTGGGAGGCTATACATGGGCTGATGAGGAGAGGGGGAGAACTGGATGGAGGCATGTGCAACAACAATAAATTGGAAAGGACAGAGCAGGAGGAGGAGATAAGAAACAATAAAGATCTATGAAGGAAAATAATAAGGAAACAGAGAAAATCTATAGGTGTGGGAAAGGAGACATAAATCAACGTTCTTGGGAGTCTCTGTGTGTGTTGAATTTTTTTTTTAAGAAGCATGTGCTGAGAGAATCTTTGCTCCCATTCCAAGTTCTTCATTCCTCTTTCTTCAGTTGCTGCTTTAATTAATTACTGCGTTTCCCCTCTTCTTCCCCCCCTCAGCCCCCTTCACCTCTACTTTCCATTCCTCCATGTGCTTGAATGTGTTTCTTCAGAGTCTATCTATCTATCTCAATTCCCTTGGCTGAGACTGTTCTGTTATACACACTTTCTCTGTGCTCATCCAGAAGACATTTATGTACTCAGCATGTTACCAGTTTTGTGTTTGTACCCCATTTTGTCCCGTTGTCACGGCTTACCCCACTTTAACATTGTGCTGCCAGTGTCAGTGCTGTTGCCATCTCTGCTCCTGGGCCTCACTGACTCTCGGGCTCCAGCTCAGGAGCTAAGTTTCCTGGATACAGAAATCCTGCTGAGTCCTGGCTGAAAGGATCAGTGTAGGGGAGGATGCTGCTGTCTGAGGAAATGCTGCGTCTCCACAGAGGGGCACAAGCATATATGCCAGGACTAAATGGGAAGCAAAAGAACCACAAGTATAAGAAGTGGCCAAATATATAGAGATCTAGCTATTTGAGGCATATTATTCCAATAGATTTCAATAAAACCCAGGTAGTTTGTCTTAGTGTGTTGGCAGGTGGGCAAGGAGGGCTTGCTTGTTGAATATCTACCCTATAGAGCGAATGCACAGGCCAGGAGGTCAGGCTCCAGCTGACCGTCAGTGTTAATGTCTGAAACCAGGTTAGGGCTGTGGGCTCACCTCTGTATCTGCTGTACCGACCTTGTCAAGGTTTGTGAAGCTGCCACGTTTCCTGCTGCTCCTGGAAAGCATCTGCGTGCACTGCCCACGTTTGTGACAGCGCCTGGAAACGCAGTTGTAACCAGCAAAGGAATTGTATAAAAGTGGCACTTCCTTTGTCAGCAGTTTTCCTTCCCAAGCCAGCTCTGCTGACTTCAGTCATTTGCAAAAACCGACCCAGCCCCGAAGGTGGCATTTACTGCTTTGTGCTTTTGTTAATTTCAAAAGCTAGCTCAGCTGAGGAGAGCAAGTCCTATAGTATTTTGCGCATCTTGTATAGAATAGCTTAATACAGCCCAGCATTGATACCTGTGAAAATCAATGCAAGGGTAGGAGACCAAGAAAAGCAGTTGTTTGTGTCATCCAGAGAGTAATTTGCTGTAGAGAACCTTTATAGATGATAATGATTCCCAAAGCAGAGGAGACCCCATCCGTCTCCCGAGGCTCCTGCTGAGACAGGAGTGGCCTCATTTCCTTGTAAAGTGAGCACTTTTCATATGGAAATCACAGAAAATCGATGAAGCCTCTGCCCTGCACCAAGTCACTTTGCAGAGCAGAACAGGCACTTAGGAAAACAACAGAGGGATCACAGGAGACTTTTCCCAAGCCACAAGTGGGATTTGGCTAATGTTGGTATTTGAGGTTGGAAAATGGCAATGGTATTTTATTTCAATGATTTACAGCTAATAGGCTTTTGCCCTTCCATGGAGAGGAAGTGTTACGTAAAATGGTTTCCCTGTTGTTTATTTTCCATTTATGTCACTTACTGCTGTCGTAGAAGTCAAAAGGGAAGGAAGTCCTCTGGAGAAGTGACGTCTGACCTCAGCGGGCTTGTTTCTGGCTGGAGCCAGATCGGTGCCATAGGTTTTCAGAAGGGCACATGTATGCTGGGCTGGGGTGGAGGGAAATAGGAGAGTTTGGAAAAGCATGTTGGAAAATTAGATTGAAATTGTGAGAGGCTGGGGCCTTGCGGGAAGCAGAAATGGAAAAACATTGTGTTCTGCTTTGTTATTTATACTCCACCCTTTCCTGCTTGGCTTTCATTATGAACGTTATTGTTTCCTCTGTCAACGAGCAAACTGCATTCTCGACTAGTCAAGAATCAATTAGCAGGAGCGTTTGCCTAAACTCTCCTAATAAATCCCCTCCACGTCCAGGGCTGTGTTTGCTACTACTTCCCACAGTGCGGAGACACCAGGCAGCCTCCAGTCATTGGTATGTGCATTTGCAAAATGAAACACCTCCTCCACACCCGTGTGAGGAGAATAAATAGGTCAGGGAGTGCGAGCGGTGTGATGCAGAAGAGAGCATCCTAAGAACCCAAACCAATTTCTGTCTTTCGTGTGTCACCCCCCCTACCCAAAGCGTGCAGATGAAAGCAGCTTTATTAGTGACATTTTAATAAATGGGAGCAGTAGGACTAATAATAAATTCTACTTAAAGGCAAACAGTCCAGAATTAAAATATTTAAACACATGCATCTTACTGTTAAAACTGTATCTCATTAGAACTGAAGTACTTGTGCATATGTAATGTACTCCTCACCATTAACTCCATTCGCTCTGTTTCAGCAGGGCTGTAGCGGAGCCAGCAACTCCTTGCACACAGCTCTGAGGTAGCAGCAGTTTTGAGTGCCTGTCCACGTTTCTGCCTGTAACGCTGGTGCTCACGTAATGAAACCCTCTCTGTATAAGAATTAATATTCCAGTAATGCCCAGAGGTTGTAAGTGTGTAGTTAATAGCTCCCAAGGCCAATGGAAATTAACACAGCCACAGCAGTCACACATTACTTGCTGCTGGTGCAGTATATCTTTGTGAAAACTAATATAGAAAATCATTCTCTTAAGAATAGCATCAATTAACTGATTTAATTCAGCGATTAGTCACAAAATGTCTTATTCCTGCAGTGCTCCCAGTAAGTAACTTGGAAGTACCTGGTGATAAGGAAGCCAAATGCAAGGTGTATTTTTAATTTCAGTAGGCAAAGCGTGGCTGTGTTGTGCTGAACTCTGTAAGGTAGCCGTGAGCGAAGCTTTGGAAGCTCTCACAAGTAGACATTGGTGACGCTTGACACCACTGTCTGCAGATAACCTGAAAGATATCTTGTTTGCCCCTATCATTCTCCAGTGCTGTTTTACAATGAAATCCCTGACAAAAGGTTTCCGCAGCTCTGGGTGCCTTCTCCACACGGGAGAGGGTGTGCACCCCACTATAGGGGCTGTGTGTGACCCCATCGCATCACGATCGACTTCTTTGCCTACCAGAGTTAAACAGGAGAGACAGACAAGGCAAAGCAACAAGGGAATTTCCTAATCCCTGTTTTTCCTACCTGAGGTAGGAGAGCCAGAGATGATGCGGGGAAGAAAAGACAGCACCAGCTGGCAGTGATCTGCTTGTGAACAAGAAACAGCACTTTGTCTGCCTTTACTTGAACAGATTTATCCATCCTTATTTCCCATTACCTCAGAGAGCCCCTATTTATGTGCTGGAAAGGATTCTCCCATTAAGCAGAGTACTGACTTCTCTGGGTTCTTGCAGGGAAATGTTTCCATGGCATACGTGCTCCTGCGATTTCTTTCTCTCTTTAACCTTGAAGCGACATTTCTGCAAGGTGTACCTTGCTTTCTGTGCTCTCAATTAAGTAAATAAGCATATGCTTGCTATTCAGCTTTTGTCTTTGTGCCCTCATTATTAATTCCAAATGTTGAGTCCACTCTCTGTGGCAAAGGACATGAAGGGGGAGGGATGGGGTGGCTGTGCAGCCACATGCCCACAGTAATGTGTTATAACATGAGAGTGTACAACTTGCCAGCTAAGGGCAAGAGCCCCATTAGCCCTCACCTCCTGGCCATACTCTGCTAAGTGGTGTATACGTACTGGCTGGGTACTCTATGCTATGCATCCCCTCTAGTGGCTGATGCGTATGGAAGAGATATCTCAGTCTGGTCCCGCCGGCTGACAGATTTCAATCATGATTTTCATAAGGTGCTTCGTGACACTCAAGTTTAAGTAGGGAGCCTGTTATGGCTATATTATAGAAAGTACTACCTACATTCCCCTCTAAATATTAGCCTTTTCAGGGTCTTTCAATTTAATAGTTCAGATTTTGAAATGCGACAGCATCTGGCCACAGGGAGCGTTGCAGTGTTGGTGCTAGAGGTGCTTGCGGTGACACCAGCCAGGACAAGTTGAATTGTTGCCATATATTTATGTTCACCCGGGGCACGCGGTTTGATAATGCGTGGGGCAAGTTTGGGCTTGTAACGTGAGTTGTGTTGGCACGAGTGTGCAGGAGGTGACAAGGTGCTCAAAATCTAAACAACCTTTTCAGAAAAAGGGACCATGAGAAGAAGGTAGACTTGGAGGAAGGTGAGGTAGCCTGGCTGCTAACACCGTCTCCTGCTTCTGTTCCTCTTTGCAGCTCAGGAGTGAAGACCCTGCCCCACAACGCCAAGGTGCACTACAACTATGCCAATTTTCTGAAAGACCAGGGCCGTAACGTTGAGGCGATCTACCACTACAAAACTGCTCTCAAGTAAGTCCCTTGAGGGCCTGGTGAAGGGCTGTGCGGTGAAGCCTGCTGTTAGCCCAGCCCTTCCCTGCTGGGCATGGAGTGGGTTGCCTGCCTCTCACCCCTTGGCTTCTGAGGGGCAGCTTGGCTTTTGGAGACTGGGAAAGTTCCCTGGCTTGGTGTTTGTGTGTCATTAAATGAGGCAGCCTGGCTTCGCTCCAGCTCCACATGTGTGTGTACGTGTGTGTGTGTTTGTGTGTTTGTGTGCACACTTCAATATATGAGATAGAAACGTTACCATAGCTACGCGTTGAGCAATGAGGTGTCATTTACTTGGCTGAATGTATGCTGGTAAGCAGGAGGTAGTTGTCATAAATGCATTTTCAGGTTCCTGGGCCATTTATCTTTGTAAATTGTTAATGGTGCATGCCTGGAAAATGCCAGTGCTGTAGCCATCTGAAGTACAGTAATAATAATAGTACTTACTACTTGTATTGAGGCTTCTGTCCACAGAGCTTTGCATGAACACTAAACTAATTGATCCTGAAAACGTTCCTGTACAGTAGCAGGGTGAATACCGTTACTGCGGTTCTGTGCAGAGGGAAGCTGAAGCAGGAGGGTGAATTGCCTTGCCCGTAGATGTATGGTAAATCTGGGCCTGAGGTTGGGCTGTAATATGGGACATCTCCTGTGCCATCTCTGAAGGACCCTCCTGACCACGCAAGCAGCTTCCCTCCACTCACTGCTCCCATCAGTGCATTTGATGCAGCAAGCAGGTTCCCCCAGTTCCCAATTCTTCTTTCCTGTGGTCCTGAGGGTTTGGGAGAAAGTCCCTCAGAGGAATGAGTGCAGGGAAAAGAAGGGATTGTCAAAGGAAAGCAAGCATTGAGGGTGCATATAGTGTCCTTGGAAAAACAGGCACATGTGGCAAGGACAGACAAGGTGAGGAGTGGCTCGGATAGACAGCAAGGGCAGAGCTGGCTCCATAGGGCACGTCAGGAGGTGCAACACATGGTACAACAGGAAATTGCAGAAATTAACGTTTATGTTTTGTCTTCTGGCCAGCTGACAGGGTTATACCAATGGCTCTCCAAGGGCTCCTGACCCACCCGGGTTAAGCTGAGAGGACAGGAGTTCATTGTCATCAAGGAGGGCCTGAACCTGGGTGAAGGTGATTTTTAGGCTTTTTTGAGCAGCATCCTGTTCCGTTTTACCACAGTGGGTATTTAGAAAGTAATTTAGAAAAACCTCCGTCCTATTTTTTTAATGTTTCCAGGAATGGAAAATCCAGCACAACCGTCAATAAATTGTACTGAAGGTTAATTACCCTGGCTGTTGAAAATGTCCTCCTTTATTTTTAGTCTGTTTTGTTTAACATCAGCTTCCAGTCATTGGTTTTGTTTTCACCTATAAATGCCACACTGAAGAACCCATTACCAAAAAATCTATTTTCCGTAGAGTGATCAATTGCTCCCTTAACCTGCTTCTTGATCCAACCCACTGATGTAGCTGCTGGCGTTTTCAGTGGTGTGCAAGTTTTTGCAGTCCTTCAGTTGTTCCTTTAGCTAGTCTCCAAATATTCTCCAATTTACCAGAAAAGGCCATTGCAAGTTAAAAAGAAGAGGGACTAGCAGATACTATCCAAGCCCTGCAGTGAACATGCTAGTACACAGAGTAACGTAACTGCTGCTACCAACATTGCCTCTGCTTGTGTAAATGCTGCCAAAAGATTATGTTCTTCTCTGACTCAGCACCCATTTATTATCATTATAATGCTGTCTTCTGCTCTGCAGTATTTCAATTATGAAAGAGTCTGTTTTGAGAACTGATTGCAAACATTTCCTCAGTTTTATTAGATGGCGTGGTTTGTGCTGATAGAGCGTCTGAAGCCTTGTTGGGGCTTGGAGCTACACAGAACCAACCGACCGAGCTCTTCTCCAGGTGCTCGGTCTCTCCGTGGCACTGGTGCTAGTGCTCCAGTTGCTTCAGTACTTTCAGGATTAGTTGGCACTTTTGAAAAGCGAGTGAGTGTGTTCCCACCTTGTATGTTCGCTATCTGACCCAGCACTGCAGACCAGGAGTCAGGAGTCTCCTGCTGGCTCCATCCCTGGGAAGCTGCATTACTTGGTCCTGCCACCTCATCTCTCTGCACTTACACTTTCCCTA